TAACCGCTTGTACATTCATAATGAAAGCTTTTTCTTTGAACTGCTGTGAGGGCTTCCGTGACAAACTGAAACTCGGAGCGTGCCATTCAGTCGCTGTACGTGCCATTTATTTTGCAACCGAAGCAAGCGACGTCGGTAAAGTCGGTGGTCCTCTGTCCCATTCTGTTTTTAATCGATTTTCGAACGTTTGACGAATGTCTCTTTGATCTCCAAGCTCCAGATATAATCATCGCCGCACGTCATAAAATACTCGCCCTCGAGCACCGCGTACAAGCTTCCTATTTTTGCGTGTTTATCCCTTAGACTTTCGTGTATTGCCTCATAGTGTAATACGCCAAAACAACAAGGACGAAAACGAAGTGAGATCTAGACAGGACGCGGCGTATTGCCTGTTGTCAAGCAATGGCCGTTGGTGAGGCCAGTGGAGGGCTCCCGATCCGCGATCAAGACTTGCACTGTGATAGTTCTAATGCACTGCACCCGCGGAATGCTGCACGGAGAACAGGCCCCGAACGAACTTGCCAAATGCACCGAGTGCAGACTGATGCTGTCGCCATAGATGCTGTAGAAAAGTACCGACCTCAAACCGAAACTAGCGCCTTTTTGTTCGACGTGATGAATGGGAATGCGAGAGCGCCAGTCGCTGCCATCGTTTATCTATAAACGTTTGTTGCTACAACGTGTAACTTATATTTGCGATAACTTCCAATTAAGGAACTCGGCTATCAGAGATATCCACAGACGGCGTAGGTTTCCGAAACCAGCTGACTACAAAACAGCATACACTTGAGGAAATTGATGGCACTGTACGCGCAAGAGCTTGCTTCGTTTTAAGCTTAGTAATATGAGTGAACCACTGAAAGGATACGGCTTAAATCTAGTTCTTTGAAACATCTAGGAATACGTTTCGTAAGACTTTTTATTTCCCTGGTGAGGGCATTAAGAACGAGAGCTTTCTCAAACAAAATACGACGTGGGAAGATAGCTGCCGTTCAAATATGACTTTGCTTGAGTCTCGGGCAACGTCTCCATGTTTAGCCTTCCCGGACGCTGAGTGAATGCGTCACAGGTTTCTGCTGTGGGAGCTTTGTTGAAAAACGTTCCACTTTTCACACGCACACAGATGATGCGAGTTCTCGCGGCCTCTGTGTTGGTCCTGAGCCTTTATTACACACCGGTAGGTTTCAGCGTCTGTACGGCAACAAAGCGACTCAAATTTTGCAAATAAAACACGGGTCGTCGATTCCTCCCTTCGTGAAATATCAGACGCTTACAATTCAAGCTCGCGTTTGAGTTTGCGGCCCGCGGGACGCGATTTTGAGCAGAAAACCAACTTTTTCTTTCAGTTCCGCTGTGCGAATGCCGCATCGTAGCAGACGAACTCTCGTCGTCTGCTCTCGCTCCTCGCCCGGGTGAGGCATGACGGGATTGTCGGCGCTAGAGAGCTCGAAGACAACGTACAGCGAGCGGCGTGAACACTCGCCTCCCCGCGCTGTCTCGTGCTCTCGTGCACCGCACCGCCTAGGGATCGCGGGGGATTTTTCGTCAAAAGTTTCGAAGTTGAGCGCGCGCAGGGAGGAGGAAACTTTGCGGAGTTCTTTTGGTCACTCCCCCCGCTACGTCAGAAAGCGAAGAATGTTTTGCTCCACGAGTTTAGCTACCCAGATGGGAATTTGAAATCGTTTAATTAGGTTTAAAATTAGTTCTCCTGTGTTTTACAGCGCGATATTGATATTTCCGAGGTGGTGCCTGTCCCTAGCCCATACTTATGCGGAAATATGGCGTCCAGTGAATGCTCCCTATAGACCGACACGCGGGCTTGACGTCACGGCGCTGCGGCGGCGCTGCGGCGGCGCTGCGATCGCGCCGGAGCCGAGGGGTGTGGACAAAAGGGCGCACGTTTCGCATGGGCGTCATAGTATTTCAGCATGCCGCGAAGCTGTGTTGCCGTTAATCTCACCAAAATGTACAAGAAAAGTAGCGGAGTGAGCTTCTACAAGTTCCCGGCAGACTCTGAAAGGCATAGAAGGTGGATAATATCCGTGGATCGAAAAGAATGGCCGCCTCGCGCGTTTGTGCGGCAAGCACTTTCTTGAAGGCAAGTGCGGCTTCCATTTCAATCTCCGTCCCGAGGCTTGCTTAAGTACAGGGAAACCATCCTCTGATCGAGACCACCCGGATTTTGTTCCCACGGTGTTCGCGCACAAAGCACCGGCCAAGCGCTTGTCGGAGGCTCCCTACGCTACCCAGCAGAAGGCGATCGGCGACAGAACGGCAGTGTTGTAGGCGTTACCAAAAAGAAGTAACGAAATACGTTACTCGTTACTTGCAAATCAAAGGTACGCGTTACTGAGCTACGTTGCCAAAAAATAAAAGGAACGCTACAGATAAAAAATTACGCACGTTACTTCTGCGTTACTTTTTTAGATTATGATTTAACACGTTTTACGGTTTTGACGATACGGGTATGCATAAGCTCATACACCAAGAAACATTATGTTCATGCAGAAACAGAACATAATTACTTTATCTCTTTTTATGGTTTCACCTAAACACTGACGAGAAAAAACGCAAAGAAATAGATGGCTTGACGCCTAAAGACACGGAAAAACTTGAAGTGTAATTGTAGTAACGAGTAACGTAACTACGTTACTTGAAATAGTAACGCAAGTACGTTACCCGTTACTGTGTCGAAAGAGTAACAAGTAGGTTACTACGTTACTGAAAAAAGAAACGTGTTCCTGGTAACGCCGTTACTTGTAACGTGTTATTGCCAAGACTGCAGAACGGACAAAGCGTTACTGCTTGTCATGCCTTGTGGTCATGAGAGTAGGAAAAGTAGCGTACCTTGACTTGAAGACGCGGTGTGTATTTATTTAATTAATGAATGCACCTCCGCAGACCCACAGTCTGCTGATCCCGCCGGCAGTGCGGAAACCGACTCGAAGTAATCGTAGGCTTCGAGAGACTTGTACGCCTGCTCCGTGTCGGCCGTAAACTGGCTTGGCGAAAAAACTAAATAAACGACGACATGAGGCGTCGACTTCGGCGGCAGCAACTTCACGACGGAAATCCAGCAGCCCTTGTTTACAGTATACGGATCCTCGTAGGCAACGCCGTCCACGCACAGTTTGTTTCGATACCGCCGCCGTTCAGGCTCGGGTAGCGAGCTTAAATAGTCGGGCATAGCATACGACATACGTTGCCAGAAAATACGACGCACAAATAAAGCTAGAAGCGTCCCTACAACGTCAACAACGAGCGCACGCCACACAACGCAATGGCGAAAACACGGAGGGACGGGTCGCTTTTGCCCACATAGCTACCGCGCATGCGCGGCCCTCCGGCCGTGTTGGTAAACAGAGCCGCTCCGCACTGGCGGCCATATCCGTGTGCGCTGCTGCTGAGCGCATAGGCGTAGACTTCGGGGGGGGGGGGGGGGGGGGGGGCGCTTTGGGCCCCCCCCCCCCTTTCTTTCGGATCTCACTAGAACGGATAGCGGCAATTAACACCTTACCACCGCACCTTAGTGGCCATTGACCCTTCGGGAATGGATACATCCGAGAACCTCAGCGCCCGCAGAACGATATCTCATATATACGATATTATAATATAAGAATATTATAATATCGAACTGTTTTAGAGCGCAGCTCTTAGGGGCCCGTTTCCGGCTTGAGCGGCGTCGGCGTCGCCGTCGCCGTCGCCGTCGCCGTCGCCGTCGGCGTAACCGCGCGGTGCATCATGGGAAATATCCCATAATGCACCGCGCGAGCCCCCCACCGGGGTCACGTGACTTCGTGGGGAGGCACGTGACCCCCCCGAGGTCACGTGACCCCCCGAAGTCACGTGACTCCCTTGAGGTCACGTGACCCCCTCCTCGAGGTCACGTGACTCCCCTGAGGTCACGTGACCCCCCGAGGTCACGTGACCCCCGCCGATGTCGCGTGACCCCCCGATGACGTCATCGACACTGATGACGTCACCGGCATCCACATCGTCATCGTCATCATCACTGATGTCATCATCTGTGATGACGATGACGATGCGGATGCCGGTGACGTCATCAGTGATGATGACGATGACGATGTGGATGCCGGTGACGTCATCAGTGATGATGACATCAGTGACGATGACGATGTGGATGCCGGTGACGTCATCAGTGATGATGACGATGTGGATGCCGTTGACGTCATCAGTGATGATGACGATGACGATGCGGATGCCGGTGACGTCATCAGTGATGATGACGATGACGATGTGGATGCCGGTGACGTCATCAGTGATGATGACGATGACGATGTGGATGCCGGTGACGTCATCAGTGATGATAACGATGACGATGTGGATGCCGGTGACGTTACCGACATCCGCATCGTCATCGTCATCATCACTGATGACGTCATCAGTGACGTCACTGATGTCGTCACCGGCATCCGCATCGGCATCGTCATCATCACTGATGACGTCGTCAGCGACGTCACTGATGACGTCACCGACATTCGCATCGTCATCGTCATCATCACTGGTGAAGTCATCAGTGACGTCACTAATGACGTCATCAGTGACGTCAGTGATGACATCATCGGCATTGGGGGTCACGTGACCCTCCAAGGTCACGTGACCCCCCTGGTTAGTCTAACCCCCCCCCCCCAGCGCCCTTCCCTCCTCCTCAAGAGCTGCGCTCCAATTCGGCGTTACAGGGAGTTGTAAGCGGCTTTCACTTTTTCTTGTGTTTCTTCTTCTGTGGTTATTGTATAGACGTTTGCAAGCGCCGTTCCGTCTTAGCCTCGAACCGCGCGCCGAAACGACGCGCACTCTCCAACAGGGCGTTCTCTCCCCCGTCGGCGCAGCTAGCGGGGACGTCTCTCCGCATTTTCACTTCCCGGCAACATTGTGCCGTTTGTTGACTTTACGCTCGTTGCTTGGCGTGGGGTCTGCGCCTTTTCGAAAGTTTCTTCCTCGGTGCGCCTTCTTTTCCGTCACTTCGTCCATAGTGCACGATGAATAATCCTACAAGGTCGTCAGGAGTGCACTGCGCTGTTTTCGGTTGTTCGAACAATCATCGCAAGAGGAACAATCAGAGACAGCAATTGTGCGCTGCTCACTTGCAAACGCCCTGCGAGTGTGGGATAGTTAAAGGGACACTGACAGGGTGTTTATGCTCGCCGAGGTTGTTAGTTGTACGTGACATATGAGGGCTCAACTACCCAGAACAGAATTTGCGGCTCGAAATTCGGTTTCTTTCCACCCGAAAACCGCCGATCAAGAATTGGCCGGTTCGAGTCTCGCTCACTCTCTTTTTCGCGGTCACGGGCCGTTTTCTAAGGTATCGATGCGACCACCAAATTTAATCAAAGTCGTTGGTCACTGAAGGCACACACTCAATATTAAAAATAGAAAAAAACATGAAACCCATTTTTTGTGGCTTCTAAAAAGCTGTAAATACGTCGATTGAAAAAAAAAGTTCCACAGACAACCGGAAGCATTCTGTGCGTTCGTCGTTTCGCGTATCGTGGGACTCGCGGGGACGGCGATGGCAGCGGACGACGGGCGTGGGACCTCTATTTCAGAACTGTCGTTCGCGGTACCGGCGAATTCTGTCTACCGTTAAAAGAGAAATTTGGGACCGATCAAAAGAATTGGTATTCATCCCGTACGACACGCCCGGCCACCAAGCCGATTTGCACGAAGACGTCGCCGAGCCGTCGCTCCCTTCTCGTGGCTGAAGACATCGCTCGCGCAAAGGTCAAGCACGACGTGTCTACTTCGAGTTGAATATGCACGCGTACGATTTCTTTACTAGGTGCGAATGTCCTCAAAGCGTGGTGCTTCCCGGCTTCGACCCGGGAGTGCTTTTGCTAGAGAAAACTCGACAGCAAACTTTCAAACTTACAGTTTACCAGCTGAATTATTACTAAGGAAAGAGATCCACCAGGAACGAGATGCCCCAGTAGGTCAGTGGGAAAGACGTCCGCTTCACACGCCGTAGGACCGGGTTCGATCCCCCGTAATTTTTTTTTTTTTTTTTGCAAACAATTTTCGATGTTTACATATCTTTTTCTTTTCTTCACAATCATCACTGAAGAAACAAACAAAAAAATAACAAACACATGTTGTGGACGATACTTCGCTGAATTAAACAGTATGGGATTTCCGTTTTGACACCTGCGAACTCAATGTAATCACTTTCCACAAAATGCAAGGAGCATATAAATCAGGTAGCGTCCGCTTTCCGAGGTGCCCGTAAATGTTCTACAGGAATTGCAGCCAGCCATTGGTCCCGATCCCGGTGATCTTTCGACAATGCCACTTTTGTTCGGATGCAGGACATGTGAGCCAGCTCTTCACGCAACATCTTGGGTTTATTCTTTTCGGAGCCGATCATGGAAATTCACCACGGGCGCTCACTACTCATCTCCAACTCCTCAATGTACAAAACAACTCATCTTGGAGTACATAACAACGAGCGGAACAAACATAACTGCAAAAGAATCGCACGGCAAGCAGTTCCCGCACGCCGCATCGCACGCCGCATGTCGTGTCGTCAGGTGTCGTCTGCTACCGGAGAGGAGAAAAAAAAAAAAAAAAAAACGCACGGTCGGGTGTAGCCACGTGACTTCCGCCAGTCACTCTCTTCTCTCCACTTCTCTGACCGCCGTCGGGTTTCGGTTTCGGTTTCGAGCAGTTGCGTCTTTTGGCTTTATTAAAGAAATACGCTACTCTGTTGCAAAATATTAATTGGGTAGTCCTCCGACACCATAATGAAGCGCCTGGCAAAAAATAAAAACATTTTTTTGGGGGGTGTCAGTGTCCCTTTAAGTTCCACCGTGTCCCCAAGGATCCCGAACTGAAAAGAAAGTGGCTCTCCGCGCTGAACCGCAAGGACTTCAAGCCTACGGAACACACCCGGGTGAGTTCGACATATCTTTATCACTGTCGTGATCTTTTGCGTAACGCTCGTGCCTGATTCCAGGTGTGCTCGGCGCATTTCGTGACTGGGAAAAAGACGGGCGAGGATATCGTGCCGCAGCTTAACCTCGGGTATGCGCGGAAGGTAAATATGCCACTAATCGCAATAGAGTCCCATTTCTGATACACGCAGTGTGCCCTAAACGCTTGTGCACTGACAGGTTGTCGTTGGGAGACGCCGTTTGGTGCGTGACGCAAGTGAGAAACCGCTGATCACTAAGGTAAACGTCTGCATGGCTGATTGTAGATTCTCGCTTTTAGTATGCGACCTCAACGAATGTGATTTCTGTTGCAGAAGCAAAGACTCTCCTCACAAGCTAGCTCTGGAGCTGTAAGTTGACCCACTGCAATATAATTGTTATCGCCCGCGCTGCCACAGGGGTTGTGCCTGACACGAAGTCATATTAGCTTCAGAGCTTGAACTTCGCATGCATAGGATGTTGTGTCTAGCACTATTCTATTGCAATGACTATAAAAAGTTGCTGCATTCCTTTCAGGTCACCGACTGTACGCAACCCGCCGAGCAGGTCAACGTCTCGGCCTCGACGTCACAACCAACTGCTGCTGAGCACACGGTAGGTTCAAGTTAAGCTAGAGTTGATGTGAGCAGCAGCATGATCTGCTGAATGCGATAAACATATCTTGGGTGGTAATCTATTGCACTGAGCATGCAAAGCTGATGCGTTCCTTTCAGGTCATCGACTGTACGCAACCCGCCGAGCAGGTCAACGTCTCGGCCTCGACGTCACAACCAACTGCTGCTGAGCACACGGTAGGTTCAAGTTAAGCTAGAGTTGATGTGAGCAGCAGCATGATCTGCTGAGTGCAATAAACATATCTTGGGCGGTAATCTATTGCACTGAGCATGCAAAGCTGATGCGTTCCTTTCAGGTCATCGACTGTACGCAACCCGCCGAGCAGGTCAACGTCTCGGCCTCGACGTCACAACCAACTGCTGCTGAGCACACGGTAGGTTCAAGTTAAGCTAGCGTTGATGTGAGCAGCAGCATGATCTGCTGAATGCGATGAACATATCTTGGGTGGTAATCTATCGCACTGAGCATGCAAAGCTGATGCATTCCTTTCAGGTCACCGACTGTACGCAAGCTGCCGAGCAGGTCAACGTCTCGGCCTCGACGTCGCAACCAACTGCTGCTGAGCACACAGTAGGTTCAAGTTAAGCTAGAGTTGACGTGAGCAGCAGCATGATCTGCTAACTGCGATAAACATATCTTCGGTGGTAATCTATCGCACTGAGCATGCAAAGCTGATGCATTCCTTTCAGGTCAACGTCTCGGCCTCGACGTCACAACCAACTGCTGCTGAGCACACAGTAGGTTCAAATTAAACTAGAGTAGATGTGAGCAGCAGCATGATCTGCTGAATGCGATAAACATATCTTGGGTGGTAATCTATCGCACTGAGCATGCAAAGCTGATGCGTTCCTTTCAGGTCACTGACTGTACGCTAGCCGCCGAGCAGGTCAACGTCTCGGTCTCGACGTCACAACCAACTGCTGCTGAGCACACGGTAGGTTCAAGTTAAGCTAGAGTTGATGTGAGCAGCAGCATGATCTGCTGAATGCAACAAACATGATCGCATGCGCATCACTACTGTGTGATGCACGATAGTAGTCTCAGGCTGGCAGTTGTACTGCAGTGACTAAATTGATCAGCGACGGCTTGGATCAGGTTGCCATACCTGGCAGACCGACCTCGCGCTGTCTAAACCCCCAAACGTCCAATTTTCATTTTTTTTTGTGGTAAGGGGAACATTTTCATATACCAAAATATGTAAAGCTACAGCCCAAGTACTTCCAGCAAAATGACTACCTACCGGACGTTGCCAGTAACTGCTTTTATAGCTTTCAATGGAGACGCCGGCACTGCTGGGGAGCTCTGTACAAGCAACCTCGGAAAGTGGCTCCTTGTAGTCTTGCCGCCTTAGCAGTTCAATGAGCCTCAGCAATGCTAAAGCTTGTTTAAGCAATCTTTCTTCGGTGGTACACTGGCTGCCATAGACGCCCAAACGCTCCGATTGAGCTTTGATTTATAGTGAAATGAGGAGTAGCATAAATTGAGGAGGTTGTCACTTTAAAGAAACGGGACGGGGTGATCGAGAAAATAAGAAAGAAAATAAGATTATTCATGGCACAGTCGAAGCCAAGAGCATGAATAAATGATCAGGGTTTCATCCCTTGCATAGGGCGGAATAGCAGAACTAAAACCATATTCCTGCGGGGCACGCCAAACCTCTAGCTTAACTCTCAACGCGGCGGTAGCAGAGAACGCTGTAGCAGACGACGCGAGCAGCAAGATCCGACTGCAGCACCGTTAGTTCTCGTGACTGCCGCCCGTGCCACTCGCCTCCGCAGGCGAGAATGGGGAGCTGTGAAACCGAGCTTGCTCCAGTAACGTTGCTTATGGCTGCCCGTTGCCTGACCATTGTTGCCGGCCGCATTTTCCAACATCTTTCAACATCGTCAGGGCAGCGTCTCATGCTTGCGAAGAGCAATTTCGGAAAGGGTCTACTTTCAGTACAATGCTCCCCTCTTTGTCCTCCTTGGTTACGTCACCACACCCGTGACTTGGAAGAGAGTGTTAAAGTTGAGGGGTGCAACACACATGAATATGTTTTATTTTTAAATAATAAAAACAAACACACAGAAACAAAGAATCTTTTGTTATCCATCTGTTGTATGGCCCCTTTAAACTAGTTACTTTACTTCTATGACTATTAAACATGATTCGAGACAATTTAAGCACAGGCTTTTTCATTTTTGCACCACTTCGATAGTTGCTATTTCTCTTTGTACTGAATATTGTTCAGTTGCTCTCCAACAGAAGCAGCCTACTTTTTCAATTGATAAACTCTGATTTTGTTCACAGACAACTGATCACGGCCAAGTTCGCCCGGATGTGTGCCACCAGGGGATCCAGTGGGAAGACCCGTGTCTTTGCGACCATGCCTACTCGAGGCCCACTGCTCCAACTGCGACGTTTGGTCCTCATGGTGGTCGTAGCATTGAGGCGCGGGACATTTTCTTTTATACCGGTCTGCATGCAGATGTCTTTATGGAGCTGGTGAAAGTTGTACCAGAGTTTGCGACCACAAACTTCATGATGTCAGTAGAGCAGCAAGTTTTACTAACTCTGATGAAGTTGAGGCTGGGCCTTGTCTATGGCGATTTGTCTAGGAGGTTTGGGGTTTCAGTTTCCACGGTAGGCAACATTTTCCGTGCCATGCTTGCCACACTTGGGCGGATCCTAAGGAATGTTGTTGTGTGGCTCTCGAAAGAGACGATCTTCAGGAATGTTCCGCAGTCCTTTGAGGAGAATGGTTTTGCAGGCACTACTTGCATTTTGGATTGCACTGAGGTGTTCTTGCAGCGACCAAAAAAATTGCTCGCTCGAGCACAGACCTACAGCTCATACAAAGGCCACAACACTGTGAAGTTTTTGGTGGCTATTGCACCTCACGGATCAGTGATGTTTGTGTCCAAGGTGTACGGTGGACGAGCGTCTGACAAGCATATTGTGAGAGACTCGGGAATTATTTCCTACTTTCAACACGGTGATCAGGTGATGGCCGACAGGGGCTTTTCCCTCGATCCCGAAATGGAAGCAAAGGGTGTAGTACTCAATGTGCCAGCTTTTACTCGAGGGAAGCTTCAGCTGTCAGAACGAGAAGTGACAGAGACCAGAAGGATTGCGTCTGTTCGCATTCATGTAGAACGGGCAATAAATAGGATCAAATCCTACAGGATTCTCAAACAGGCACTGCCCATCCAGCATCGAAAGGTTGCAAATGAGATAGTCTATGTATGTGCAGGGCTATGCAACCTAAAGGGACCTTTGATCAAGAAGTGAGCTTTTTTCTTGAGAATTCTGGAGCAGTGAGGTCTGCATGGCATACCAGTTCCAAGTTATCACTTCTCTATCCTAGAAGCAATTGAAACTTCTACAAAACTGTATGCATGGAACTTTTCTTTTGTAATTGCCACTTCTTGCATTGCTTTTTTCGCCCCAGAGTTCCTTTAGATTACATGTATCTACACTATGTGAGTGTTTTTTATTCAGTATTCATACATTTGAAACATACTTTAACACTACATGCTCTCGCATAACACAATGGCCTTCAAACCCAAGCTACAAACACGCCCTGCATAGACTGCAAATGCTATGCGCATACCCCTTCTAGTAAAAGTGGCTAGCAATATTTCGTCAGATAACCCAAGTTCAGTTCCGCAATCTTGTCTGTTCTTTTTTTAGTAATGTGTTACTATTTTTTCGGGCATGTTCCTACCGCTACCTTACGCAGGTCCAAGAGTCAACTGTGTATTTCTGTTGTGTATTAACGATTGCACATCTGCCAAGATTACATATTTTTCATTATCTTTTGTGAAGGTGTTGTGTGGATAGAGCTAGAGGGCCTGTCATAGTCACAGCATTGTGCTTGAAACTGTTTTTTTTTTTTTTTTTCAATTTCTTGTTTCCCCTCTTACCTGAAAACTGTTGTACAAGCATGGCCCAGATTAGTTCAGCCAGTTGTGGCTAACAAACAGTGGCTTGACTTGTGTTAAATAATAGATTTTGAAGTAATAAGCCATGTTGAAATAACAAACTACAGATTTTGAAGTAATAAGCCATGTTGAAATAACAAACTACAGATTTTGAAGTAATAAGCAATGGTGAAATAACAAACTACTCAATCAATACCACTGAAAACCATGGATAAGCGAAGCATCACACACATTGTATTGCACAAAACGACACAGTACACTGACCTGCCCAATCACATCTGTGCAAGCTGCTTGTACACATTTGAGAGTGAAATCTTTCCAGAGTTGGTGTCATCAACAAATGCCGGCAAAAGGCTCTTAAAGTAGAAGTTTCTGACCCTTGGCAGGTGGCAGTTCATAAAGTCCTTGCTGTATTGCACAACTGCAACCTCGTCGTGACCCTCGGACCACACATAGAAGTGACAGACGAGCTTGCCAGTGCAGTGCATCGCAAACTGAACCTGGTGGTAGTACTTATTTTTTCCTTTGGGGTCCAGCACGAAAACCCCATTGCCATTCTTGCGGACATCATAGGTTCCAGATTCTAGTAACGCTGAGCAGTTTGGTACATCAGGACACTTTATCTCCAGAAGAGCATCAAGTTCATCGATGATTCCATCAGGGCTGGCTGCGAGCCATGGCAGCTCAGGACAGACCACCAGTCCTACTTGTCGAACAGCACAGTTGTATCTGTGCATGAACTTGCTCCTAGCTTTGGGTTCGCTGCGGCGGCCATGCTCGGTTGCTTTGTTCCCTCGAAAAGTCGGGTGAAGAATGTCCTGCACAGCTTTGGAAGGGTTGGTTGATGCCCTCATAGGTACCCTTTTTATCATGGACGATGTTAACCGCATGCGGCGGCTCTCGTGCCAGAGTGTGCAGTTGCCTTGCTCTGCCGTTCTTTTGCAGAGTAGGTCCATGGCAGGTGCATGGATGGCTACAAGCTCGTTGTATGCCTTTGAGCAGGCGGAACAGCTGTTGGGAAGGGTCGTTGCATCTTCATGGCTGCTGTGACCGAGTGAAGGCATTGTATCGCACTGAACCGCTAAAGGGGGTGCAGGGTCTCGTGGAGGCGCCATCAATGTCTCATGAAACAAGGTCCCCGAGATCTCCATGAGCCCAGCAAGGGGGCCCTCCTTAATGTGCTGAAGATGCTCCTCATGCGTCTCATACCGAATCACATCTACAGTCCCCTGAATTTCTGAGTTTTGTTCTTCTCCAAACGAAATGTTATCTAGGCTTGCTGCAGTTACATTACGTTTTGTGCCTCGGTTCCAGGCAGCAGCTTCGTCAGTGCACGCTGTGCCGGTCATCCTGTTCGTAAAAGCGTGTTCTAACTTCCACAAAATGGCTCCCACATGGCTACACACCTTCGCTTGTCCTGCCATGCAGGAACAGCCTCCTGTAACCACCCGGCCAGTGGAATGCATGCATACCCACGCCTTGTGTGGTGCAGCATTGAAGGATTGTGACCTGCCCACTTCTGCCTTGAGGTAGCACAACTGGTCACTTATCCGATGACCAAGCACAGTTCCCACCAGGCCACTTGACAGGTAATTATACGAATCAAGGCTCTTGTAGGCTCTGACCTCCTGAAGATCGCAAGCCTTGGAGTGAAGCAAGTAGAAGATATGATGTCCGGCTTTTCTATGGGTGGCCATGATTTCATATTGTCTTCCCAGATTGACACTTCCTTTGGATGAACGTAGGGCACAGATCCTGAAAGAAAAAACAAACAATAAATGCTTGGAAACTTTTGTATAAGGACAAGGTAAATCGTTGACTTCTGAGATAGAGTGGAGAAACTGTCTTCAACAATATGTTACTTTGCAATAAATTGTTCTTGTTGATTTGGCACAGTTCATGTCTTTCTTCACAGAGCTATTCAATAAGGTGTTTACGTCATTTGTGACCATACGGGTCAGTTTTCATTAAACACTGCCTTTGAACAGAATTTGTGCTAGCAATTGGCATTAATGGAAACTGCTTGTGTGTTGCACAGCAAAAAGAATACTTCTGTTCGCCGAGAACAACCTGCTCTATCGCTTTTTTTTTTTTCTGTCACTGTGTAACATAGGCATTCAGCAGCGTGGTTTAAAAAAAACTGCATATGGCGCATTGTTTACACAGAAGCAAAAAAGAAAAAAAAAATTGGACGTCTGAGAGTTGTTTAACAGCCTGAGGGTGGTCTGCGAGGTATCGCGACGTGGTTCATTAAGTACGGCTGCTAGCCTGAGGTCTCAAAGATGCATCAGGCAGTAGCGATTACGCGTGCCGGTACTATGCTCGGCCAGGGGCAGGGGCGGGGTCGTACTCCGGATCCCTAAGTTCTGCAGCGTAAGCTTTTGCTCCGCGAGCTACGACCCGCAAGCAGGCTCGGCCACCGTTTCCCCCATTGTTCGCAAACCGCTTTGCAATAAAATCCATAAAGTGACGATCCACAGAAGCGAACATTCCGTCATGTACGAGACTTTTCGCCCTCGCGAATATTCAGGTCCGTATCGTTTCGTCGAGACTCGTTTCATCGACAGCACGCTTAGGGAAATTTCGTCGCGCGTACATCACTGGGACCCGCTGCCGACTACCGGCGGCAAATAGGCGGCTCATTAGAAAGAGTAGCTAATTCGAGCTGTCAATGTAACGAACTTTCGATGAAACGATCTGTGGGTGAACTGGTTGTCATCGCGAACACTCCGTCGTGTACAAGTAATTATCATACCGGAGTGGCGCTGAAGTGCGCGGCACGGCGGTAGTTAAAAGCGTGAACGGCTAGGTCTTGGGATCCTAAAGTCCTGATATGCATTGCTAATATTGAAAATGAGTATTATCGTGCGTTAGGCATTGCGTAACCGACACACTGTATGTACTTCCAATGCTTCTAACCGCGTCGCTGCCTCTGCGATCCCGCAATGCGCCCTTCTGGAGCCCAGGAGGCACGGTACCCAGCAGTCAACAAACACGCTGCTACAACTGTGTTATGATATTTATGTAAAGAACGATTGCACACGCTTACCGTCAAGAACCAAGAAATCCAAACCATCCCAGGCGTCGCTCGTGGAAGCAGACGCCATTGCGCCTTGGCCCGCGGTGGCTCGCTGTGAAAAACGAGCTCCACAAAAAAATATAGGGGGTTGTTTACGGCCGCAACCAGATACACACCGATTAAGTAGATTTTGGGATTACTACCCACCGGCCAGAGACGAAAATAAAATACCTAAAGCTCACAAAACACATAAAGGTTGAGAACACCGAGACGACTCGCATTGGGTTTGCTGGGCGACTGGCGCGTTTACCCACACCAGCACCGGCGGAAACACGCCGCACGCTAGGCGGCGCCAGCATAATTCAAAATGGCAGCTCCCTGGAGCCTTTCTTGCAAATGTCTATAAGAGTTGTATATTTAGAATTTCTGTAACCTAGCTGTGCTCCCATCACTGCTGCTTGGTCTTGGGGGGCGCTGGACTTTGTCAAGCTGCGAGTACGCAGCTTTTTTCCAGCCCCCTAGTCCCAAATTTAATTGTTTGTGACTTAATAAACTGATTGATTGATTGATTGATTGATCTTCACATCAATCATCTCCTACCTCCGGTCCTTCGTGATTGGGCGGTACGTCTAATCCGCCAGCATCATCACTACCCCTCTCCCACTTCCCCTTCCCCCATGCCACATGAGGTTCCATAGACCAGAGGCATGGAAATTAAATAAACGTTTCAATCAATCAATCAATCAGAGCCCACCCCCCCCTCCCCCCGGGCCCGGGCCATGATCCTTACCGAGACGCTGTTTACTTGCCATGTAACGAGCTTCTAGTAGTGGCTAGTGTGCCTTCATGTGCGCTTCGCATAGAGTGATGCCAACTGCCTGTTTCCCTTTCCTACACCCTCTTCCACCGCCATTTTGTTCCTCTCATTGTTTCCCCGTGGCCGGAAAGTGGCATTTGTGTCCACCGGTCCTCCCTTCGAGGGGGAAAATGCTAATCCTCCCTCCGTGGGTTCCACAACGCTGCTCCGAACTTGTGAGATGAGGTGCTTGTTTCCGGGAGGGTTATAAGCCCCCCAGATTATCGCCGAGAACCAAAATGGCTGCTGGTTTGTCGGCGAGTGGTATTAGAAAGGGTGGCATCACCCTAGCAAAGCGCACATGAAGGCTCCCTAGTAGTGGCAGGTAAACAAAACAAAGCCCACGCTGCTTCTATTGAGAAAATGCACGGGAAATGGAATCCCAGCGTGCTTTCGTTAGCTTCAATTCCCAGTTCTGGCAAAAAGGTAACGCGCAGCATCCCCCCCCCCCCCCCCCCCCCCCCGGGAAAATGGAAAGTCTAAGCCGCTGCCTGAGCGCGTGCTGACGGCAAGCTTCCGCAGTCCTTTTGGAGCGTGCATTTAGCACCATCAAGGCTGCCAGTCTTAGCAGGGTATTAATGTGAGCTCGTTCTGAGCATGCACTCTAAACATCGTCCTCAAATATGGCGTCCAGTAAATACCTCCTATAGAAATGAGCTTGTGATATGAAAATGTTTACTTCTCGCCCTCCTTAACTTGGGTTGTAATGGCGTCAAGCGAATCGAAAAGGTGAAAGAAGACCGTTGGCGCTCGAACCTCGTGGAAAATCGCACGCGATCGCTGCTGCACTGCATCCCGTTTGGAACGAAACCTCCGAGGAGCCCAGTGCCGGGACCGCAAGATGGACGGCTGCATCCTGGAGAAGGACTTCCTGGTGGAGAAGCTGCTGGCGTACCTGGACACCGAGGAGCTGTTCACCTGCTGCGAAGTGAACAAGCTCTGGCAAGGGGTGGCGCTGTCGCTGCTGCGCAAGAAGCTCATCTCCGTGTCTGTCTGCTGCGCCCCCGTGAGCATGCGTCGCCACCTGGCTTTTAATATCCGCCTTTTTTTCGGAAATCGCTGTTCCTTTGGGCAGAGAACGCGCGTGGGCATTACGAATGCTGGCACGAGCTTGAAGGTCTGTCATGGTCACAGTGCGAACTGGGTTTACGCACTGGAACCATGGTTTCAAGAAAGGTGGTATCGAGTTCGAATCGAATAGTGACGAATAATCCAAAAGTTCGAATGTCGAATCGAATACGAGTGCTCTGAAAATTTTATTCGCAATGTTCAGAAGTCTCAAATAGTCCGCTTAGATGAGTAAAAAACACTACCGGTCTATTTTCCTGCAGGCCACGCGGAACGAAGATAGGTAAGCGCGAATAGAAACGGTGTTAGTGAACACACGTAAACGACAAACTTATGACACAGCTGACGAGTGTGTCCTCCGATTTACGTTTGGTGGACGCACAGCATGCTGAGTGAACGGATCGGTCCATTCCTCTTGCGCAGTCTTGTACACGTTATTAAAACATGTGTTCGAACAAAAATGAAACATCTTCTATAAGCGCCACAAAGAGCAAACTTATTCTTCCTGCGTTAATTCTTCCCGTTAGCTTAGTCGGATATTGAGTTTCTCAATGTTGCAAGCAGGGCCGACCACAAGCACGAAAGCTCGAGGTGGCTGCTTCGAAGTGTTCTTCCGCAGAACGAGCGCTCGGGTTTGAAATGCATGTCTCAAATCCAGGAGCGCGGGCTACCTCGCGCTTGTAGCGTGGGCAAACGAGCTATTTCGACAGAAATGGTTCGTTTTCCGGACTTCGGTCAATAATTTGTGGAAGTTGCCCTCTGACAGTTTTGAAGTAAAGAGCATAAAGCGCGAAACACATGTACGACGAAACCTTCCGATCCGACGCGCGGATTGCCGGAATGACCTTGGGGGGCGAGGGTTTTCGTAGCATCGGAGAGCGTTGAAAACCCTCGCCTCCGACCGTCGTATTGCCTGATCGGACGTCGTTTCTGAAATTCGTCAGCTTACTCCCAGTCTTCAGGGTCACACCTGGTCGCACTCCTAGTGACGTAATTCGGGGTGCTCTGTAGGTTCCCGTATGCTCTCTCGGAGGACGCTTCTTCTCCCTCTCTCTGCTGACAGTAGGGAGTTTTAGTACACCGTGTTTCCCCCTCCGCTAGCCCTCCGATACGAAGAAACCGCCACTGCGCCTGCGCGCCGATGGCCTTGGCTGTAGAGTTCCGGGTAGCGGCCGGAGGGGCCTAGCGGAGCTTGAAACACAGTCTACTAAAACTCGCTAGTAGCAGGCGTTATGCTGCAGCTTAGAGCCGAGCGAGGTCACGTAATCTTCTCGCCTCGTGGTTCCTTCGGCTGCCACTCGCGGCTGTAGGTGGGGCAAAAAGCTCTACTTTTGCTTTCCGAATATGCTGCGGAATCGCGACATTTTTTTTTAATGAAGGAGATGTTCTGTTTATCTTCCGGAACACGATGAACAACGTAAAAATGGCGAGATGCAAATTCTTTTCATCTTAAAATCGTTGCACCCCCCCCCCCCCCCCCACACACACACACACACTTTAAGACTTCTGAATGCAGACACGGTTTAGATCCAACACAGACTTGTGAGGGCTATTGCACCATGTGATCGACGTTCCCGAATTATCTTGAACTTTCCCCAGGCACGCTGATACTTGTTATTTTCGAAAACTCGAATACTATATGAATTCGAAACTCGAATCGAATAATTCAGACAATCGTTATTCAAATCTATTTCGAAACTCAAATATCCGCACACCCCAAGGCGGATTGCTCACAATGCGCAACTTCATTTTTCTCTGCTCGGCGGTGGAACGCATTCTGAGCATGCGCATCAGCTTTCTACGGATATATCAGACGCCGCGCATGCATCCACGGCCTAGTGATTCTCCATTTTTTCCCCCGGTGTGATAACTTACACACGCTTGAAAAGTAGTGTTTACAATACAATTCATTTGGCAAGGTCCCCTCAAGCTAATCAGAGACACGGAGCGCAGCACGTGCCTCCTGGCTGCTTTCCGCAGGAGGAGCGCACTCTTTGGCTCACTGGAGCCCAGTGGCGTAGTTGCAGGGGCAGAGATTTCCATAAACACCTCCTGGGGGGGCGGGGTATTACACTGTTTTTGTTTTTCTGAAGGCACCCCCTTAATTCGCAACGACTCCTCTACTCTCCAATGCGCCCCCCCCCCCCCCGCCTCTTAAAAATTTAGACACCCCCTCTAATTTCAATTCCTGGGGAAACCCCTGGCCAAGGGGGAAATTTATGAAGCTTCAGACCCCCCCCCCCCCCCCCCCCGCAATCCAGCCGACCGTACAATATACGCATCCATTTTGACCTCCCCCCCCCCTCCCCTTCCACACCGCTCCAGTCATGGACATCAGATATCCCAAACACCAAACCCGAAAAAAAAAAAAAAAAATTCCTAGCTATGCTATTGGGTTACGGTCCCCATGGGAACTGTAGCTGCAGCCGCATGCCACTTTCCTCGGTCAGGGCCACCATCTTGGTGAGGCGTCAGAAACTTCCGTCATTTGGTATATGCCAGGTCAGTGAGAACATGTTTGATCAGTGAGAACTCGCGCTCAATCGGTGAGGAGTTTCAGCCGAACGCTGACGCGGCATTTGTGTCCGATCTGCCCCTCGCGCTGACCTCCATATGTGACGTAGAAAATGCAGCAGCTTTGTATCTTGGAGCTCGGGTTCCAACCTGTGCTCGCAAGGCACGGAACGAAGGCCGTCGGGTGCATCGTCAAACTTCAGCAAGCGGCTTCTGCAGTGCTCTGGTAGCCCGTGCCTGCACGTCCTCACTTGTGTTAGCAAGGGCCCGTCCACTGCACGTCGTAAAAGGTGTGAAAAGAAAACCAAAACACAAAAATAGAACCCCCCCCGCCCCCCCCCCCCCCCCCCAAAAAAAAAAAAAAAAAACATTTTGCTGTAGAATTTTTTAAGGAAAAGCGGACTCTCTTACACTTTCTTTCCTTCGAAAGTTATATGCCTTTTCACTGCGATGCCTCCACGGTGCCACGTCATTTCAGGAGTCTACCTCACCAGCACCGCGATCATAAACAATAAATAGCCGGCGAATGTTTCTTAAAAGTTTTCTTAAAGAATATTCTGATCCACATTTTGTTGAATAATTAGCGATGTGACGAAAATTGCAGAATTTTATAATGCTGGGAGCTACGCCCCATCTATCGAGTGAACACTTCATTTTATCATGGAACCAGAGGCACTCTTTCAGAGTACCCGCCCTGATCTAAAAGGGTCTTGGTTCACCTGACTTACTTACTTAGCAAGAGAAAGATAAGACTGCGCCTGCGCTGTGTCGCGATTCCTGCTGAAAAACATGTCGTCGGTGGTGATCATTGACGTGGTCGGCGTGATGGAAGTTCTTCGTTCCGCGTTGAGCGCCATCTTTATCTGAATTCCCGTCGCGTGCCGCGATGATAACCCAGCACGTCCTAGAAGGGAAGATCCATCTACTCGTGCGGCGATGTTGTGGCGGCACCCTCAAGACAGCAGAAACGCTCGTACCGTGGTCTTTGTTTCCTTCGACTACAGTGGTGCTTTCTTAGCATTTCTATCCTCGAGCATCGCCCGGATTTATTCTTAATGCGAAAGCATTGAGTATCCTACGGTGCGAGCCGACGTCATCAGCTTTGAAGCTGCGCCAAACGGCACCTTAAATCCTTTCTCCAAGTGAAGCCAGCTCCCAGTTAGAAGATAAAAGAGATGCAGTCATAAACCAAAATGGGGTAAGTTCAAAAATTATAAAATGTACACAGAGACAGTAGCAGAGAAAGGCTTAACCTTTCAAGATGATGAGAGTTCTCTTAGAAGATGGAATAAGTTCATTGACATATGGACATTATTTGCTAAAAGGCCGAAGTTTGTCTAATATAATATACTGAGTGTGATGTTTTCACCCTTTGTCTTAAAAGAAATTTGATCATTATTAACAAAGAGGCTTGTAAACGATAATTCAATATATTTGCTGGATTGGCTTAATATATCTTGCTGTAACCAACAAACTACCAACTTATCAAACAAATTCGAATTCTGTCTTTTTTTTTTTTTTTTTTGTCTTTCGGAAATACAGGTTTGGTGTGATATAAACCATGTTGTTTAAATCCTATATCTTTGCCAACGAGATCCCCCTCAATTGGTTCAAAACGCATTTTTTTAGAGGTTGGCTAAAATTTATCTTTTATACTATACACCTGTTTCATGGTTTTCTTTTCATTTTTCGTGACTTTCTTTTAATTTCTTAAATTTATTTTCAATGCCTTTTTAAGTTGTTCATGGTTTTCTTTTAAGTCCTTATATTTTCATTGTTAATCTTATTTTAATTTTACAAGGAGATAAGATTAGCAACATCAAGGTTTTAAATGAGTTGCTTAACATTTACCAACTTTTTTCTCTTTTATATTATAATTCCCCTGATCATCTAATTGAAATATAATCCCCGGATCTCCTCTAATTCCTGTAATTATATTTATGTTGTGTTAAGGGGTGTGAATACTTTGAAATTCATCTAATGCAAATTTATTTTTAAATGTTGTCATATTCCTATCATCTTTAAATCCAAACAAATTGAAATAGTCACAATTGCTCTTTAATACCAGTGAAATACTATGTAAATCATGAGCTATAAATATGATCGAGCAATTCTTCTTTCTTGACATTGTAAACAAATCTGAATCTTTTTCCCGAAATGTTTTATCTCCAGTATTTCCGAAATTATCAATAACTATCCAAATCATTAACTTCTATTATATTGTTACGAATGACAAATTATGAGGCGGCGAATAACTGAAGAAACTGAACGTTTAATGGGGCGGACTTTTGCCCAAAACAATAGAGAAGTAGGTTAGCATCGCAGGCACGATGTCGGCGAAACTGCGGCTCGCCACGCGGAGACCCTTATAGACGCGTTGGCTTCTGGCATAATCGGCGTAGAAGGTTCGACGCTTAGAACATT